CCAAAATTTGGATGATTTTGAATATTCACTTGAAAAGTTATCAAAGAAAAACATTTTTCATTTTGTAACTTCGAGGGCCCGTTACTTGGTAACGAAGGATTTTAGGAAAAAAAGTTATATGAAGTACTGGTGATATTTTGACCCCATCTATACATTCCCGAGAGGAAAAGAGGAAGTCCAGGGACACCCTGTATATCAAGTTATAGACGACGCGACGCATCGAATACCACTCTCAGTTTAGTACTCTCACTCTTTCGTCTGAATATACAATGGCGAGGCATGAAACAGTTTTCATTTCGACCTACTGAGGAGTCTGGAGTAGAAAGCTGTAGAAATGATTTGAAGAAATGAAATACGGTCATATATCTCGAATAAAAAGCATGATCATGTTATTTATCGTGATAGTTTCTTTTTAATAAAGCAAGACTCGTTTCTTGCTTTTCACACTACCTATATTCAATTGCTTACGTTTACAATACATGCTATCTTACATTTGATAACATAAAAATGACGACAGAAAAAAGGGGAAGTGTTTCATCCTGTACTGTTATTTATACCTAACCTATTATTCTTCTTCTTCATTCTATATTGCTAACACTTCATTCATTCTCATGTAAACTAAAAAACAGTCCTCATCTGCCAATCATACGCAAATACTAGAATACGAGCCCAAAGTTTGTAAAACTATTCTAATCATAAACTTCTTAATAGATTTGTATATCTATCCGACACGAAGTTCACACTAAATGGAACTAAATTGTTAGAAAAATGCCTTAGTTATAACATAAAACCATATATAGGATCTTTAGGTATAGAAACTATAATGAACATGTCGCGGCAAATATTAGGAAATCAGAACCTGTTAATCAAATTCAGTCTAATGTAGAAATGAAAATTGCAAAATTAATTAAACAAAAAGCTAAGGATAATGAAGTGATTTTTAGGAGAGCATATAAAGGTCGAACGGTTATTGCATTACATGTTTATATTTTAAAATATGTTTTTCCCGTTAATCAGCTATCGCAGCCCTACGAATGATAACCCTCAGAAGTCGAAACTTGTGCGAGCTAAGGTCTAACGAGTTCTTACCTTTTAACGTGTGATTCCTCACACGGGTTGGACGATAGCAATTGAAAATCGAGCGTTCAGCCTGGGGCTGGATCATCGACTCACATATCGGCCGATTGACAGAGTGAACAAAGCACACACGTCGAACCGCCCGGCTACCGACCGACATAAAAGTGACTACGTAGGCAAAACACTAGCTTTCCTTAATTCAGGAAGCTACGATATTCTGCGGAATGATTCTTCAAGTATGTACCAGAAAAAGACAATAGTTATGACTGGAAAGAAAAATGCGGAGTATTGATCATAATTCCAAAACCAAACCACACCGGTGGTGTCGTTTGAAATTCAAACCTATATCAATATCAAGCCGCGATAAATAATACTCATCAATCAGTGAATAATATTAAAGTCGAAATATGTCTTTATATCGAAGGATATATACTTTAGAAATCGAATTTCGACATTTTCGATGTTTTAAATGTCACATGTGTAGTATGGGAACCATGCAACTGAGGCATATTCCAGTGCTGATATGATTGNTAAAAAAATATGAGTTAATTACTGTAAATGTGTTCAATACAAATATAATATTTATAGTTTTTCATTATTTATCGGGTTTAGAAAAAATAGCGTATGCAACTCTCATGTAATGGTTATCAATACACTCGCATATACCATACGAAACTAGCCTTCGGCTCGTTTCGTATCCCGGTTAATGCTCGTGTCTTAATAACTATCATTACATGATCGTTGCATAATATACTAGTATTGTATTGTCAATAAAATTCACCACTGAAAGGGAGGTACATGATTCAATATATTACCTTGACTCCAGTATTACGAAAATAAATAATAAACATGATTTTGCAATTTTCCACAAACCATCCTTTACACACAGACATTGTCATACATAATTCCTCAACACACCCTTACCAGGATAAAGTAGCTGCATTCACTATTATTCTTCACAATAGTTATAAGGTAGATATCATCGAATCCCTTCATTCCAAAAAACTACAAAAAACAAGCAATGAACCAGGTCTACCCAAATTCAAGATACGATAACGTCCGCTACAGGACATTGTCATATTTTGGTGCACCCACCAATAATATCGCCCATTTTTTATAAAAAAAATGCGTAGACGTAGCTTACCGAATGTA